TGGTGGCCTGAGGTCAGATTTGCTGCGACAACCAGTGTCACGAGGAGGCTGCACCTCCAAATCCACTGATGGGAGATGGATGTGTAGTAACCCATGCTTTGGCAATATAGATCTTTCCACATTTCACAGCAACCAGTGCCACCCACACAGAGTCACAATGACAGGTAAGTCATTGTCTCTCAGTGCACAGAGCATGACAGAAGCAGAGTCTGCCTCTTCAGAGGCTCCAAAGCTACATGAACAACTGCAAAGCCACTCTCAGGCTGCAGAGCTGGGTCACAGAACAGGGTTAAAGCAAAGTCTGCATGCAAACTTTTCTGCTTTTTGCAGGAGTCCTTGAAGTAACTCTCTCAAGGAAGAGCATGAAGGGTCATCCCAGTGGAGGAGGAGCAGGAGCTATGTCTGTACTGTGCTTACTGGGCCTCAGAGCTGACAAATCCTATGGGAATAAACTCCTATTCCAGCTGTATCAAAAAAAGCAAGTCAGACTCATCCACTTCAAATTAATTTAGCAGTGGCCAGTAGGGCCTTTAGTACAGTTTTTCTGGTTTGATTCCTCAAAGCTACACCAGGTTCTAATTTAGTGTCAAAAGAAGACGTAAGGACAAATTCCCACAGGGAAAGTGCACGTTCACACAATGCCCATGAACACAGGGATCGCTTGGTGACCAGCAGCTCTTGGATCTTCTCCTCTTCAGTGACCCAGTTTCTCCCAACTGTTTTTCACTTCTTCATTTAATCCCATTTTCCTCACTGAAGGTTAATTAAACTTGAAGGTGGATTAAAACTGGCCAGATTGCTCTCTTCCAAGAGCTCTGTAGCATCACACATCAGAACCACTTCCCACTTCTCATGCTGACTTACATTTTGCTGTAGTTAGGACTGTCAAAGAAATCTGAAATATTGGCACTTTTAGGCTGCTGGCCTTCAAAGCTGTATCACAGCAGCAACTGCAGTGTGGACATAGAAGAACTGAGAAGCAATTAAAATGGATTCTAGATATATTTCATAAATCCTCTTACAGTTTGGAGTCCAACAAAGCTCTTTGGAAACAGAGGAGGAGCATTCATTCACTTGGGCATGTCACAGCAGCAACAACTGTTAATGTGTATCTTCAGGGCAGCTGAAGGAAGCAGCATTTCTCCTCACCTATTCATAAATCAAGCTATAAAGTCAGTGAGTCGTGCCAAGCTCCTTAATGCTGTTCAGGGAATGTAAGAAAGCTACAGGAAAACTACTGGCTCAAAATTCTCCAAAAATTGCATATGTAAATCTGTCCCTGCTGTTTGGGGATGACTGAAAGAATTTCTTAGGCTTCCATATGTAAAACTCTGATGGTCCATCACAATAAATACAACTTGACATCTGAATCAAGGACTTCAATCTCTTTCATAAACTTCATTCAAGGCATGTTGCAACACCATATCCACTCAATTTTCCAATTTGGAAAAATGCATGAACACAAATACAGTTCCTCCAGGTCAGCTTTTGCACTCATGGAGTTTCTTCTAGTTAGCACCAATTAGCATGTTTGGATACGTGATAGAAATAAACTTCATTTTGCCAGCTGGGTGGAGTTCACCGAGTTTAAAAAATATTTGACACTCAGCAGGTGAGAAAGTGGAGACAGATGTTAAAATGCAAATGAAATCAAAGGATGAAAAAATAATCCTTTCATTTCTTCCATTTATTAAGCAGCAGTAAGCCCACATCCTCCCTTGCCAACACCAGACACTACAGTAAAGAAGTCAAATGAGGAATAGTAAGTGTATAGTTCTCAGAGCAAGCACAACTTGCACTTGTAGGCAAGTTCATGTACTGCTCTTCATTCTGTTACATGTCATTGTATGTTATTCTACATGTTTATGTAGAATAAATATGGTTAAAAAACGGTAAAAGCAGTCAGTCTAAAGTAATTGCATTTATATTTTAAAATCCTGAATGCCTGCAATTAGAATTGACTCTGAAAAAAGTCTTCCTCATTGTTTCAGTCGATTTTGGATCATGAATTCTGACTCATTACACCTGACTATTCCTATCTCATAAAATATAGAGGTATTATTTGGTGTCTATATGAAATGTTACACTTTCATCCATTTAAAGTTAAGAATTGCTGACTCCCACACAAGTTTATGGAAATACAAAACTAGAATCTCTCACTTGGCTACTTCTGAAAAGTCTGTTTTCATATGATATTGTCAGTAATGCTACCAAAGACAGCATTTACATTGCAAACTCCATCGAAATTTGCCAGCTGGCAGATTGGATAGAGTTCTCTAAATTTTCTCCATACAAATAAATGAAGAAACTTCCCTGTCACTTCCAATAACCCTTGTGGAGAAAAAAAAAATTAATCATTAACTTTTACTATGCAGCACTGGAATAATCCAATACTGTCACTGAACTTGTTCTTTTTAAAGTTGGCATTGGTGGACAGTGAGAGCAAAAACATTTACTTTACTTCCACGAGAACTTTCATGACACAGGTCAGTGTGGACCAATTTCTTGGAAATTAAAACCACAGTGATTTCAACTACCTGCTCCCAATACTCATGCCCTAAGGCCCATGCCAGATTTGCTACAAAACCAGTCAGAGGGGGCTTGTGATTCATTAAATACTGTGCCAGAGGATATATCCACAGTGTTACCATAGATTTCTAGATCTGTGTAATCTGTTAACAGTCTCTGTTTGATTAAATCAGAATGAGTTTAACAGAACTAAGGGGAAAAATACATCAAAATCAGGAACTAAGTTCTGATTCCTCCTGGAAGGGATGAGAACTCAGATGTAAAGACGGTCTTATTTTTATTAACTTAATCCAAGGGTTGTATCAGATAAACCAAAGGTCAGATAGAACAAAAAGCCTCTGGGTCAAAGGGAACCACTGCAGCACCAGGAGCGTGGAGGTGGGAGATAGGACAGGCAGAGATAAACAAGAACTTCTAAGCCATCTTGGAACATTTTCAAGTATGCCTGCAACGTTACTTTATTAGGTCTAAGTGCAAAGTGAAGTAATCGGATTTAAGATATTTCATTAGAAGCTGCAAACTCATCAGATCTATTCAGGCTGAAAATATTTTAGTGTATTTTTTTACTTCTTTCGTGGGAAAAAAAAAAATCAAGCTACAAGTCCCATTTTTTACTTTCTGCACCACATATAAGAAGTAGGGTGTAATTGTTAATGGTGCATCTCTAATCAATAATCTAAGAAAACATAATATTCATGAAATCAAGGTCTCATCTGAAATTCACTAAAGCCAAGACTTCAGTGGACTTTTGCACAGGTTTTGAGCTTCCCCTGGACAGCAAACATAGGGAAAAAAGCACAACTCTAACGTCCTTGGTGATGATCACAGTACATACAAAAAGCAAATGCTGGATGTAGGTACCTTTTAAACCAGAAGATCTCTTCAGGATCTGCAATTCCATATTCCCTTAACTTCATCACCATCAAGGAGCTCTTCCTGATGGCTTGCTCATAGCGTTGGCTACGGGACAGGAAGTTCAAATCCTCATGCTGGAAGTCAGGGTCATTAAGAACTAAGGCCTCTGGGGACAGAACAGAAGAGGAAAACAAGCTCAGTTTCCACAAACCTCAACAAACAGTGGGTGAGAAATGACCCAGCTTTTTACCTGCTGTACCTCAAGGCACAGGTACCAAAAAATTAAAAATAAAATTGGAAGTTAATGAAATCAGAAAAAAGTCAAAGCCCTTTTAGAGAGCAACTCCTGGCACTCTCATTTTACACATAAACCCCATGATTAGTTCAGAGCACTCTGGACTTGGCAGGAGGGCAACTCACTGACGTAAGACCTTGCAGGTCCCCCAGCAACAGCCTCAGAGGCTCAGGCTGCTGTCCCTCAGCCTCCTGAACTCTGATCCCTTCGTAACTCCCTCCCTGCAGAAGGGCACAGCGACTATTCCCACTGTGCCAACCGGAAAACAAGGTACCCCGAGGCCACAGACCTCCTATGGTCCCCTCTTTGGCACAGAAGTTACACAACAGCAGCCCCTGACAGTCCCACCCCAGGGAAGAGAATGGAAGCAGTTCATTAATCTCTCATACCACAGTGGTGGCAGGTGACAAACAGGTGACAAACAGGTGACATTTGTACTGTTGGGCAAGTGCGTGGCAGGAAGGAAACAGGAGAGGAGAGGGCCCGAGTGAAATAACCGTGAGAAGCTGCCTCTTACTCTCCAGAGGAAGGGGAAACAGAAGTAAAAGGACATTGCTCTATCAGGGTCAGCTCAGAGCCTTCCTGGAAAGGGGACGAGAGGGAGACCAGGGACGTAACGCAGCTCCTGTTCCTGTCTAACCCATCAGAGAGCTCCTCTCCTGTCTAGCCCTAAACTTCCTTTAGGCTGTGACCATCTGTCTGCAAATCTTCTCTTTACAGCTCTGCCCTCTCCTTGGAGTCCCCCCTCTCCCCAAAAGCTCCTCCACACATCCTTTCTCCCCATGTGTCCCCCTCCTCACAACCTCGACCCTCCTCACCTCCCCCGAGGGTCCCCACCCCGTTTCCCTGTCCCCATATCCCGGTCTCCCTCGCCCTGGGGGTCCCCTCTTGGGTGTCCCGCACTCCACAGCCTCTCCCCTTCCCACCGCCGCGTCTCCTTCTCCTAAAACCTCCTTCTCCAAGCCCTCACCATGGCTGTCTCTGCCCCTCCTCGCCCTCCCCAGCCCGGTCCCCGCCGGGCCCTCCCTCACCGATCTCCTTGCGGCGGCGGGTGCGCTCGGGGCCGCCGTCCAGGATGTGCGTGAGCAGCAGGGGCTGGAAGGTGGCGGCGGCGCGTTCCCTCCGCAGGTCCGCGTTCATCGTCATCGCGGCGGCGGTTCCGCTGTGTCCCGGTCCCGCTCCCAGTCCCGATCCCAAACCCGGCCCCGATTCCGGCCCCGCTCCGCCGGCGACGCCCCCGCGCGACGTCACTCCCGCGACGACACGTGGGTCCCGACCACGTGGGCGCCGTTCCCACGGGATGCGGTGCTGGAGCGGTGAGCGGCGCGTTAGACCGAGCTTGGAGCGGCGCCTTAGCGCTAAAACGGGCCGCAGCCGGGGCTGGGGTGCGGTGTGGTGTGCGTGGGGAACGCGCACATCGCCTCCTGCATCGGCACTGGATAGTTAATTAAATAAACGGCTCGTTAAATGCCTTTGGCGGGGCGCGTTCGGCCACGCGTTAAACGCGGGCTTGGCAGCGCTCTGGACGTGCATATAAAGTGCTGCGATAAATGTGCCTGCAGCGTGCTGCGGTGGAGGTGGCGCGGGCATTAAGTAGCGCATTGGGCGGGCACAGGGGGTGTGGCGGTCGGGGTACGGCTTCTGCAACATAAACGATTCTATACCCGAAAAACGCACACCGAGCACCTTGCGCACCTGGCTAATCCCACCCGCGCGCGCAGCGCCATTCGGGAGCAAAACCCACGCCGTGCAGAACAGCCTTTGCCCTTCTGGAGGTGCACAACTGGCCTTGCTTGTTCAATTTTAGGTGAGGCGGGGGTGGAGGGAGCTGCGGAGTGCAGGGAGGTGGGTCTGCACCTCCGTGGCCCAGGTTGAGACCGTGCCGGGGGGATTTTGCCGCCCGCCGTGTGTGTGCCCAGCCTTGCACGGGGCAGCCAGACAGCGTGAGGCATGTGCAGAGACGGGGTGAGCCAGGATTGCCCTGGTTTCAGCAGCCTCCCACGGAGTCCTCTGTGGGGCATTTTGCAAGCCCCGTGAGCAATGCTTTAGAATGAATCCTTTTCACTCATCGCTGTCTCCTAAACCCTACTAGACTGCTGATGAAACCAGGCTGGCTTGTGTCCAAGTAATTGTTCTCCAGCTACAGGATCAGACACTGCCAGAATTTCTTATCCTGCAGTAAGAGAACAAGTTCAGGATAATTCCTTAAATCTTGCTGCATAGTAACCCATCACCCCAGCAGCTGAGGCTACTCCTGCATCTCAGACCCTCCCACTCTCTGAATTTCTCAATCATCATTTTTCCCACTTCTTAACCTTTCTTAACCTATCCATATTCTGGGCCAGACCTGGAGGATCTGGTGGGCTGCCTGTTGTTCATCCTGGGTTATGTTGGAGTAGACAGTGCCTGTTTATGCCGGAATGCCCCGGGCTTGACACTGAGCTGCAAACAGGACTCATCAGGGAAGCTACGAAGCTCCTGCAGCCCCCTGGATGGTGGTACCTGGGCAAAGAAGGGGTTTTGGGGCAGTGTCACTTATAGCTTGGAACAACATGGACTCAGATGTTTTGCTTTCCTGCAGGCCCAGCAGTTGTGTGAGATGCTGCCAAGTGCTGGTGTCTATTACTTCCCATGGGAGATCAACAACTCAGTCCCTGAGGGGGAGGCCCTGAGGACGTTTGGCAGGTGAGAAGGGTACCCTGCTCTCCTTGTGGGCCAGGGGATGCCAAAGATGTGCCTTTTCTTCACTGGTTCACTCCCGTCACTTGGTTTGTAATTGTATTTCTGCACCACTGAGCTTCCCAAATCCGTCATTCCCAGGTTATGCTGCTATGACCTGGCCCGATCCGAAGCCGTTCTCACCGCTCAGCACAGCTCAGCTCAGTACCAGGTCTGTGTCGACACCAAGTTTGTGGAGCCGTTCCAAGCCCAGCTGGGGTCTTTCTACATCGTCCTGGGAGAGGCTGAATACAGGGAAGGTAAATGCTCCAGGAACCAGTGCCTTTAGCTGCTCGTGGGTCACTGAGGGCAGTGTGGGCCAAGGCGGCTCGTGTCGTGCAGCTGCCTCCAGCTGATCCAAGGAGCAGCCTGTCTGTCCCTGTTGACCATGAGAAGAGCCACGCTTATCTTGGTGAAAATCTGATGCTCTGGCACAGATTTTGTTAGAGACAAGAAGCACCACTGCTGGGCTTGTGAGACCTGTGCTAAAGCCTTCTGGCATCACCGGCAGCCACCACACCGACCGTCTTCGTTCCAAATGTGGCTGATTGCAGCAATACCTCATTGCAAGCTCGCTGGGTTGGTCTTTGCCATCCTTGAAAGGCTCTAATTATCATCCCTGCCCTCAGACATGTGAGGAATTCAGGCAGGCTCTGTCATGCAGTGCACCCTGTTGTCCTTTCCTGGGGTGCCCTGTGCTCCAGCTGCTTTGCGTGGGGAGTTGATCTGAGCTGGGCTGAGACGGTGAAGCAAATCCTTTGTTGTCTTGGCCACACCTGGTAACAAACATTCACGTCTGTGCCACTGAAATCCTCAGAATGTGGAAAGCCACACTGCACGTGGCCTCTAGAGACTGACCTGCTACACCACTGCCATGAAATTCCTCTAGAAAGATGTTATTTTGGTCATCACAGGCTGGGAGCAAGTTGGGCCCCTTTTGCAGGGATGGAAGGGGAGCAGGCTGAGATGGTGGCTGTGTCACCAAGATTTGGTCCCTCTGTGCAGCTCCAGGTTACCACTTGAATGCTATCAATGAACTGTTGGTTATAGTCAGCTTTGAGCCTCTTCTAAGCCCAGCTTTGTTCTGTCCTGTTGTCTGCACAGGAGCATTCAGAAATGAGATTAGACCTGTCCCTGCTGCTTTTTAGACAGGAAAAAGCAAACTCCATGCAGCCATGAAGTAGACAGATGCTGCATGGCAGGCACTGGCACCGTTCCCCAGGGCAAGGAGACCGCAGTGTCAGTCACCTGCATTTTGTAGCCATCAGGGCAGAGGGGAAGCATGTCACTGAGTTAACCTGCTCCCAGGCCTGCTGCTCCCTTCAGTGGCCAGTGGCCAATCCAGTCTCCTGGCACTTAGGCTGTGGTTACTTGTCTAGCTGGAGCCATATGCTGCCTCAGGGAACTCTCTGTCTCCAAGCTGCTTTGTCTGTTTTTCTTTCTACAGAAACTTCCAGTCCCGTGGTAAAAGCACGAATACTGACCTGCGTGGAAGGGATGAACGTGCCCTTGCTGGAACAAGCCATACAGGAGCAGAGGAAGTACTTCAAGGAGAGGCAGGAGCAGAGGGAAAGCAGCACATCCTGACAGCTCCGAGACCAGACATATGCTGGTCCTTGCACTACCATTTGCAACAAATATGTTAAAAGTAAATTAGGATGTGGGTTTGCTACATGGGGTTTGCTGTGGCAAACAGCAAAGTCACTGAGCAGGGAAGCACTTGAAGACTGTGAGTCAGTCTGTGACTGGGTTATCCATTCATGCCATGTGTCATCACTGAAAATAGCTCAGGGAAGGTTTGTTGTTTGTTTTTTGAAAGGGTGATTAAGGAAAGGGAACACTTGGGTTATACTGGTCCTTTTGTAATACAGGGCCTGGAGAAGTCGTGAAAAGGAGAAGTCTCCGAATCTGGAGTTAAGCAGCTCATTGTTGGCAGATTGGAGGAAAGAGTGCCCTGACTCAGTTGCCACACAGGAACATTCCTGGCAAAACACTCACTTACCTGGATTGACTAACAAAGAAACAAGAAGAACAAAGAGTCCCTATTTTCAGTAGCAGCTGCCTCTTCGGGCTTTCAGTAGCTGGTGTCCAAGGGGAGGATTGATTTTACCTCTAAGATAAATATTTGCAGTGCCCTGACAACCATCACTTGACTTTCTTCCTTGACACAATTAAGTTTAAGAGATCTTAAATCCCTTTTGAGAGATTTATTTTTTTTTGATTTATATTTTCCTAAATAAAGATGAAAAGAGAAGGCAGTCTGTCTTTTATTGATTAAAACCCTCTTTCTTGCCAAGTCAAATGCATTAGACCCTGCACAAACCCTGTGGATGATGTAAGAAAATTCAGTGATACACATTTTTCCTCCTTCTCCTAAGTACCGTGTGTGTAAGGAATTAGTTTGTTTTGAAAAAGTTGCAAGAGAAGGAGATGAAGTTTACATCAGAGCCACTCTGGTTTAAGAACATGGTGCCAGGCCCACCCAGCAGAATTAAACCACTGACAAAAGGACAGAAAATCACTAATGTCAAGTGAGAATAAAATGGTTTTTCTGTTGAAATGTGCAGAAAATAAGGACTGAAGCTGTCCAGTGCACAGCAGCAGATAAAATACAACAGGTATTGGCACAATCCCATTGCAGGCAGGCTTGATTCAAGGGCCTGAGATGGCAATTACAGTACTTGCATTAATCCTGAATCATAATTTAGTCTTATGTTTTTCTTCACCCAGTTACAGAAATAGAAAAGCTCTGACTGAGCACTCTGTTGAGCCCAAATCCAAAACCATGATTTCAAGAGGCAAGATTATAACCTGGTTTTGTGTAAGACAATGGCAAGTCTGTCATGATGCATTTATGTTTACACCTCATCTCCTATCTGTTCTACCTTCCTCCTCGTGCTTAAATTTTATCCAAATGGCCAAGTTTGCCAGAGTTGGGATTATCCAAGATGCCAGGACTGAGAACATCCAAAATACCAGGTTTCTACAAGTGTTATGATAAAAAAGCAACCCACAAATCCTACCAGTAAAGAACAGAGCAAATTTGGCAATGACTTCAGACAGAGATTTCAGTGCAAACTCAACCTTCATAAGCTACCAGAGAACCCACACAAGAGTTTGCCATGGCCATGTGGATCCCACTTCTGCCACAGAGCAAATAATGCTTTGTTTTTTCAAATTAGCAAAATCAGGATTAATTAAAACAAAAAAAAAAAAAGAAATTGAGCTGCTGGCTCAGCAAGGGGCTAAATCAGCCCTAAAAGTTGGGGTCTTCCCTGTGGATTCACACAGCTGCCATGTCCATGACCACCCAGAGATGTGAAGCCCCCAAGCCCTCCAGACAACATTCCCTTTGGCTTTGCCTTTCCTGATGCCACAATACATAAGATTATTTTAATCATGTCTTCCATCAGCTGTCAAGTCAATGATTAATCCCTCTTCAAGGGCATCTTCCAAAAGGCTGACCAAGCGGCACAGCCCACGGTGGGGAGGTTAAAGGGACAATTGTGCAAGACACACATAAAAAAAGGAAATATAAAAAGGAAAAAAAAAAAACAATAAAAAAGACATCCTGCTGGGTCTTTGACCTCAGCGTGTCCCAGGGAACATTAATCACGAGCCTGATTATCCCCTTGATGCCAAAAACTGTACAAATGGAGTGGGAGAGCTTCCCCTGGCCCTGTGCAGTTCTTGCTGCCTTTCCCCAGGCCCCAAAGCACCTCTGTACATCCATTTTCCTCAGTTTTTGGCTTTAGCCAGCACACTGTACAACCCAGGTGGAACAACCAGCCGTGGTAAACCAGGGTGTGATTCTTTGGGTCTGCCAGAAGCCCCCCAGACACCCCCAGACCCCCAGAGTGCCCAGGCAGCCCTGTCCACCCACAGTCACCCCAGGCAGGTCCCTGAGGGGGTCCCTCAAGGCTGAGGGAGCAGCAAGCAGGGACTCAGACACAGCAGCACCTCAGGGGACACCCAGGGAGACCAAACCACTTCCCCACATTCACCTTTTTGTTTCCCGCCCTGTTTTTTCCCCTCAGAGCACAGCGCCAGCCGGCCACCCCACACTGCCATCACCAAGCGGAGGCAGCCCCATGGAGGCCATCCAGGAGTCATTCCAGAAGGTGGAGAAGATCGGGGAGGGCACTTACGGTGTGGTGTACAAGGCTCGCAACAAGCGCACGGGGCAGCTGGTGGCCCTCAAGAAGATCCGCTTGGACGCGTGAGTGGGGCAAAGCCACGGGGCAAAGCCCTGGGCCTGCCATGGCACCAGGCTGGCGTCCAAAATGGTGCAAGAGGCTCAAAAAAGCCGGACATGAGGGGAAAAAAGTGTCTCTATCAGCTCGTGGGAGTGGTTAGGGCCTTACCCAGTGACACCAGGCCCTGGGCTCAAGGCACGGGGCAGGGGGAAGCAGCTGCCATTTTGGGAGGTGGTCTCTCCCTCAGGGCTGTGGTGTGGGGGTCTGGTGAGGTTCAGCCTCCCAGCGGGGTCAGCCTCAGCCCCTCCAAGGTGGGACTGAGCAGGTAAAAGCTCATTGCTCTTCCCCTGGATCAGCCCTGGGCTGTCTGCACAGTGAGGGGTGTCTGTGGGCTGGGGGGCAATTGTGGTGGGACTGCAACCCCATGGTGGCCCCTCAGGATGGGGGAGGTGGCTACATGAGGGACACAGAGCTTTCATCTCCCACCACCTCCAAAAATCAAGACCTGGGCATTTAAACCGTTATTGCCTCTCTAAATGCACTCTCAGGTGCTTCCAAACAACCTCTGCCCTGGGACTTGAACTGTCTGGGTCACTTCTTCCATCTCCTTGCCCACAACTCCATTGCCCCCTACCTCACCCCCAGCACTGCTCCATCCCAAACTCAAACGCTCCCCTGGGCAGGTGATGGGGTACAGTGGAAGAGGGAAAGGACACAGGACCCCAATGGGCTGTGGGATCCCCCTGGGTTACAGGGTGTCTCTGCCACAGGGAGTCAGAGGGTGTCCCCAGCACTGCGATCCGAGAAATCTCACTGCTGAAGGAGCTGAAGCACCCCAACATAGTCAGGTAAGATGAACCCTCCCCACCAGCTCATCGATGAGTTCCTGCTACAGGAGCTCTGGGTACAAGCAGCAAGAGGAATTTTCTGTCCTTTCCCAGCTGCACAGACAGGAGAAAAATAAACAGGAAAATGCGGGAATCACTTGCACTTCCCTGACTCTCAGCAATACCTCACTCCAGCAACACACACTGGTCTAAGCTGTTGCTGCTCCATACTAGCTGCACCTCTGCCTCTCTCTGCTCCAAAGGGTTCACAGAGCAGGGGCATCTGTGGGATGAGGGATGTTTGGATATTCATAAAGTTCTAGGAGAAGGTACTGAAGGGAGAATCTGCACTTCTTCTGCAGGCTCCTGGATGTCATACACAGCCAGAAGAAGCTCTATATAGTGTTTGAGTATCTGAGTCAGGACCTGAAGAAATACATGGACTCGTGCCAATCCGGAGCTCTCCCTTTAAGCTTGGTCAAGGTACAGTGTGGAAGGAGTGCCAACAGGCAGGGCAGAGAGCATGTATCCCTGCTGCCTTCTGCTGGGCAGACTGCACCTGGAAGAGATTCCTCAGCCTCAGATCTCAAACATTTCAGCTGGGAAACCCTCGTGGCACTATTGCTCAGTACATTTATTTCCCAGCTGTTTCCAGGCTCTCGAGCCCATCTCTGCTGCAGAACAAACTGAGGGATCTATTGCTTTGTAGAGAGTAATGGATGAGTGGAAGGGACTGACGTTAGATCCATTGCCTGGATTAGAGTCCTTCTGACCCCAAGCAGGGTGGGAGCAGGTTGTGTGTATGTCTCTGAGTAGTAGCCCACAAGCCTGATGTTGCATTGTAGCAAGGTCTTTTTTCCCATTCAGATCTGTAAGTAATCCAAAGTGTGTTGGTTCACACAATCCAGCATTCAAAGTTTTCATCATGGCCTTATCTGAAATCTCTTCTCTCCTTAGAACTATCTTTTCCAGCTGCTGCAGGGTGTGAGCTTCTGCCACTCTCACAGGGTCATCCACAGGGACTTGAAGCCGCAGAACTTGCTCATTAACGAAGCAGGAGCAATCAAGTTGGCTGATTTTGGACTGGCAAGAGCTTTTGGAGTCCCCCTGCGCACATACACTCATGAGGTAGTGTTGAGACTCCCACAGCGGGGTACACAGTCCACGGTGGGTGAACAGTAGCAGCATCACCACAAGTTATTCATCCATAATGGAGGCACAGCCATAGCCAGGAACACGCTCTGATCCTAACCTGCACCTAAAAAGTTACCTCATGTCCCCACGAAGTCTTCTGTCTCTAGCCTGGCTGCAAGCTGGGTTCCCACCTTCTCTGTACAGGGTATATTTATTTGCTCCAGAGCTCGTTTGTTGGTTCCTTTGCAGGTGGTGACTCTGTGGTACCGAGCCCCCGAGATACTGCTGGGATGCAGGTACTACTCAACCCCTGTGGATATCTGGAGCATCGGCTGCATCTTTGCAGAAATGGTAGGATGGGTTTAAATAGTGTCTTTAACGGGCAGGGAGGAGGCAGCTGCAGTGGGAAGATGGGATGAGATGCAGAACATCTGTGATACTGTGTTCCCACTGTTATGGAAAGTCCACCCTGAGGGTTAGCTGATCCTTATCTCAGAGGGAAATCTGCCACCCTCAGGGGCAGAAGGCTGCATTTCCAGATACATGGTGACATGGTGCCTCTCCTCACGGAAGGGGTAAATTCTGTTTTGCTGTTGCAGCATTTTGATCCTGGGAGGAGATGACTCTATGTCTTCACAGTGGGCTGCAGAGAACTAGCACTGTTGTAGCATGGCAGAGTGGATCTCCTAGGGGCCTGTACTCCCCTTGGAAGAGCTCTGGTTATCCCTGCAATGTAATAGCACTCATTCCCAAAGTCCCTGAGCTGCAGAGTAGGCAAGAGGGAGCGAGCCAGGAGTGGGTGTTAGAAACTGGAGACAAAGAGGGATAAGGGACTGGCTGAAAGAGGGACAGCCCCAGGATAGCATGGATCAATGGAGAGGAGCTGGAGACAAGCAGTCAGACACTTGTGACTTTCCCAACCACTGCCTGGCATTGCAAGTGCCCTGTTCTGTGCAGTTGTTTGCACCTGCCGGGACAAAGGGCTGCCTGCAGCAAGAAATAGGGCACACAGCTGATGGAAAGGTGGGAACTGCCGCCTTCTCTTCTCCACCAGATGACCAGGAAGGCCCTGTTTCCAGGGGACTCTGAGATCGACCAGCTCTTCCAGATCTTTCGCACCCTGGGCACTCCCACCGAGGTGACCTGGCCTGGCGTGACCCAGCTGCCTGACTACAAGGGGAGCTTTCCCCGGTGGCCAAAGAAGGAGATGAAGGACATTGTTCCCAACTTGGATCGAGATGGGAGAGACTTACTGACGGTGAGGGCTCAGAATAAGACCTGGGGACAGACAGGACCTTTTCAGACTGGGCAAAGAATAGGGATATTTGAGACTGATTTACCTGGAATTGTAAATCTGATCTGGGCCTAAAGCTCACCTCTGCCACTGCAGAAGCATCAAATCACGGAATAGGGCTCAGTCCTGCTCTGAAGCAGGACAGTCACTGCAGGTTCCTATAGTAACCACTGCACTGGGAGTCAAGGAACTCTTCTAACATAATCCCCACAGTAATTTGAGTTGTGGGTGACCCCTGAAGCCCAGGACCAACACCTGCAAGTGGGCCCAGCCATGTGTGGGTGCAAGTGATCATTTAATTTTTAAAATCCTAACTCTGCTGGGTTTTTCTCCTGGCAGCAATTGCTCCTGTATGATCCCAGCAAGCGCATCTCAGCCAAGGCAGCCCTCAACCACCAGTACTTCCTCAGCAGGAGCTCCGGGACCCCCGAACAGCGACACACACTGCGGAGAGAATGCAGATGAGAGGACACAGCTCTCCCCAAGCTCCTGCACCTCCAGGTAGCACTGCAGGTCTGGTTTGGGGCCCAGCTGGGACTCGGGATCTTGCTTCTCCTGAGGACCCTGGAAGGGGACATTCTTGGCATTTAGAGACTCTCAGCCTGTTGCTGGGGGAAAGTTCGTGTTGCAGCCAGAGAGTGGTTTGAAGAGGTCACGTGCAAAAGGGTGGGGGTCATTTTTCAGCATAAAACACTGAAATGTAGAGAAGAGAGCATCTCTCAGAGGTTTGTCCTTGCATTAGTGAGCTAAGGTGACTCACAGTGAGTTCTGTCTCCAGCACTGGAGCATCCCTAGCTCTGTCAGTGGCAGTTGCTGGCACCAGGGCGTGCTGGAGCTCCACTTTGGGAAAAGGAGCTCAGCCCTTTACTGCTGTTACCACACCGGGCTTGTCAGCACATTGTTTAGTCTGAACTGTTTAACAGAGCTCACATCCTGCTCTTCCACAAGCTGAAGAGCACTATCAGGAGTCTTAATTTGTGCGTTAGGTGGGACCAAGAAGCCAAAGATCCAGTTATCATAAAGCAGATCCAGTTAGGATAAAGCACTTGCTGGATATGACTGGAAACAGGAACAGCTAAACCACATCTTTCCAAATGTAATGCTGTTTCCTCTGCTTTATTGTATTGGAAATGTTTTTGCAGTTCAAATGTTTGGAGAATTGTCACTGACTCTTGGTGTGGTTTTGTAATTTTCATTTTTTTCTTTCAATATAGAATAAAATATATACTTGTAGTTTGTTCAGAAACCTTGGTGTTTATTATTTGGAACAGCCCATCGGGCTGCTGACGCAGGACAACCTGGCTGGTCCTTTTTTCCACAGAGCTGCTCTTCCTTCCTCATCTCCTACACTCTTTCTTTTATCCTTTCCAGCCCAAATCCTTGGCAGGTGAAGAGATGTGCTCTCAATTCTGTTGTGGAGCGAGCGGCTGATGCTTCTGCAGCCCAGTGTCTCAGTGGGGTAAGCTGGGCTTGTTTTCCATCACCACAAACTAGATCACAGTTATGTTCTGCTTATTGAAATACTCAAAAGACAGATTTAACTCATGGAAGCCAAACTTCTGCACTCCTGTTTTTCATGCACGTGCACACATGTGCCCTCCTAATAACTGTGATCCCAAAAACTGGTTTCAGCACAACCTGACATCTGTGCTCCTGCAGCATCTTGTGGCCTCTGTTTGGTGACAGCCAACAGGGGCATGTTTGTGGATGAATCCATGGAGACATGGATTAATTCTGCTATGGGAATCATTTCCCTGCCTTTGCATACACCTTGTAAAGTCAATTCATTTCATACAATGTTCCACTGTTCACTCTATGCAAACAATGCTCACCTGACAAACCGTTTGCAGGAGAGTTTCATTTTTATTCTGTTTTTAAAAGATCTGCATTAAGAAATAAATACCAAGGACATTCATCCAGACCAGAAACATAAATAAAAACACTACAACACATCAAAATGAAGCAACAGGCTGAATTTTAAATGTTTGGGACCCAACTCCACTGTCAGCAAAGGGAATCAACAACAGCTGTGTTGAAATAACTGCTCTGGGAAGACCATGGTTCATCACCCTGTGCTTGGGAAGGGAGGAGAAGTCCTACCTGGCTTTTCCTGAGCAACTGACAACCCTGCCAGACAGCCAGGCCCTGGGGAAAGCCCCCTGGCTGGCTGGTGCTTCCTATGGACACATCGGGACATGACACGAGCTGCTTTCTGCAGATGAGGGGCTCGTGGTAGCAAAGAAAAGGATTTTTAGTGAGTTTTTTTCAGACTAGACTAGACTGCTCAGCCACCTAATCATCTCTTAACACCTTCACCCAGCCCCAGGTAAACACCTCCTACCACACAGTTAGGGAACAGTTTGTCCAAAATTATTAACTGACCGCCTAATTACCAGAACCCCAAAGTCCCTGTAGTTACAGAGCATTCCCCCAAATCATTTCATCACCCCACAGAGCCAAGTGAGGGGAAGCCTGGCAGCAAACTCACCTGTTGGGCAGAGCTGAGCTGCAGGAAAGGCAACAGCCCCGTTGCCAATGGATCTTCCCTGCTTTCAGGCAGCTGAGGGGAGCAAAGCCAAGGCACTGCAAGGCTGTTCCCAGCAGCTTTGAAGAGCTGGGACCCGGGGACTGCTGGGAACTGCACTGGTCCAGGGCTCCTGGGTTGTGCTGGGACATGATCCTTACCTGGCCATGCTCCTGTGCTCTGAGGGCTGTTGGACTTGCCCTGGCAGGCCAGAGTTTCTCTCCTGATCCATCACAGCCCAGCTCCAGCCCTTGCTGCTGGTCCAGAGCAGCAGTGCCAGCAGTGCTCTACTGAGAGGAAGGAGGCTGGGAATGGATGCTTCAAATTCCAGTAAGACTATATGGAAATAGAGGCTGTGCTGCTGCTCTGGTGAGGAAAGGAGGGGGCAGAAACCTCTGTCCTTATGGATTATTTGGTTTTGTTGGAGTTACCGAACAGCATCATGTAAAAGAGCCCTTGGGAGAGGGAGAAGAGCAGCTGACATCAGTAGAAAGTAATTTTTCTCATCCAACAAAGCCAGGGGGTGCTCCACAATGGGGTAGATAATAAAGGAGAACATTTGGGATATGAGATTTGCTTGTTTCAGCAAGGACTGAGCGGTGGAGGTTACACAGAGGAGTAACATCCTTTTAGTTCACCTAAAGAAATAGCAAGTACAGATTTCCCAGTACTGCTGGTGGAACTGCACCCTTTGGCAAACTAGTCCCTCTTTCAGAGGTGTCCAAATGACCAGGGAGCAAAGTCCCACTGCTTTTCAGTTTTAAAGACAAATACAACAAAATCTTTAAAAATATGGACTCACATGCAGAAAGACATTTAGGGGGTTCAGTGCTGTGAGATCACGGGGAGCAAGAGCCTACAAACCCCATGTAGATTGGGCTGCAGGGCCTGGGATTGCACGGAGGGAAGAGTAGCTGTGCCTTCAGCCACTTGGCAGCCGCAGCCTGCAGAGACAACACAGCCACAGAGACACACTTGCTATGTTTATTGCATGCAGAATGACCCAGCTAGAAAACACTCTGGCTCTCCCCCCTTTCTGAGCATAACCACGTTTAACCTACAGCGGAGTTCTCACAATCAACCCCTCTTTGGCGTCACAGCAGCCCCCGGGGGACTGCGGGGACCCTCCGTGTCAGGTTCATGGTCATGCCTTCTGCCGTGCACGGCCGAGCTGTGTGGGGAAGCAGATAGCTAAGAGAGAAGAGAGTGCAGCCCTAAATGCTCGATGCTCCGTTCCTGTGATCGCTGCTGCCTCCGTGGGGAGAGCTGTTTTGAAGGGATGAACTCCTGAAGGAACCAGCCCCAGTACATTCAATGCCTGAACCGTGAGAGCCTGGGGGAGCGGCTCGCCTGGTGGTACCGCTGATACCCCTCAGATGCGGCCGGGAGCAGCAGGAGGTGGCTCAGTGAATCCTTCTGGCAGAGGGCCATGGCCTCCTTGTAATTTATCTTCTCCTTAGTGACAGGGTCAATGAGATCTTTCTCATAGTTGGACTCATCCTGGAGCCTGTTGGCCAGGTTGCTTGTTATCATCCCGGTCTGGACAGCTTCCAGCACAGGGATGCGACCGGTTTTCTTGGGATCAATGAGCCCTCCAGTTAGATGCTGGACTTGCAGGTAGGGGAAAGCACTGTCCTTGGTCATCCAACCCTTCTGAACTGCTTCCCCCACAGACAGCCTTCGCTTGGTCACCGGGTCCTCAATCCCCGTGAAAGCTTTCTGTGCATTGAGCAGTCTCTGCATGTAGGTCCTGTCAATCAGTCCCCTCTCAATCGCCTTATGGACTGAGAACCGGTCCCGAGAAATGAGGTCTATGATGCCCCCCGTGGCAGCCTGGGCTTCCAGCAGCTTCTGAGCTGTCATGGGATCGAGCAGCTTCTTCGCAAGAGCAGTTTTGACGCTGTACTTGGTGTCGGTGGTGGTGTCATACACCCCGGCGATGGGGGATGTGTCATCACCTATGCCCTTCTGTGAGGCTGGGGGGAAGAAGGTTTGGGTTTGGTGGGTGGTGGGTGATGTGAGTGGGGATTTGGAGATAATGGAGCCAATTGAGAGGGATGAGGGAGGCTTGGTTTCCCCAGCCACCAGCAAGGCAAATTCAGAGATGGGAATCTTGCCATCCCGGTACAGCTGGTACTCCTCCTTTGTGATCCTCCTCAGCCTTAGTGCATCATCGATGGAATACTGCTTCCCACTTTTCTTGTCAAGGAGAAGTGAGATTTCCCCATTTGGGCCCAGGGTAGTGACTTCCTCCCAGTCACACTCCAGCTCTTGCAGCTGGATGTACTGGCCTCTGTCTATGATACCTCGCTTATAGGCCTCGTAAGGGGACATGTCCTTCCCTGTCTCGGGGTCCAAGATAGAGATCTTGGTGGAGAGGTTTGTCTCTCTCATCTGGGTCTCGTGATTGATTTCTTCCCGGTTGACCTTTGACTGGAGATCCCGAATGAACCTCTCCTTGTTGTAGATCTGGTCCTTCTCCCTAAGGATGTCTGCCTCCAGCAGGGAAAACTCATGTTCCCGCTGCTTCTTCTTCTGCCTGTCATTCTCAGTCCGCTGGTTGAGCAGTTTGGACTCCTCCCGAAGGAAAAGGACTTTCTGCTGCTTCTGCCTCTCCAGATCCCGCAGTTCACTCTCCAAGTTGGCTCTCTCCTGGATGGCCAGGTTCCTGGCTTTCTGCAGCTCCGTCTCTTCGCGAGCCCACGTCCTCTTCATGCCTTCAGCTCTCTCGATCTTATCCCTGAGCCGCCGTACCTCCTCTTCTGCCTTTTGCTTGGCTCCTCTCTCCCTGCTCAGCAGCTCCCAGATTCGTGCACGTTCACTCTCCAGCGCTCTGTCCTTTTCCACTCGAATCACCTCCTTGTAGATGGTCTTTTCCTGGGATTTTGTTTTCTGCAGGACATCGACTTGCACCTGCAGGTTCTTGCATTCTCTCTGCAAGCTCAGCACTTCCATCTTCTCCCGGTCCAGCTCCAAGCGCAGGTTGCTGGCAGACTGTTCCAGGACTGGATCCTTCTCCAGCTTCACCACTTCTTCCATAATGATCTTCTCTTGCACCGGGGCCGGGCTCTCCTCCAGCTCCTTTATTCTCAGAGTAATTTGTCTCATCTCCTTCTCCAGTGCAAGCCTCTTGCTTCGATCCTCCTGAAAGTTGAGTAACTTCTCTTGCTCCTTCACCAGCGCACGAACCTGCTGCACGTCGCGTTCCAGGCGGCGCCTGTTGCTCACCTCCTCATCCAGACTCCGGCTCAGCCTGGTGTGCTCATCTCGGAGCTTTGGGTCCTTTTGAGTCAGTATCACCTCTTGAACAACTACCTTCTCCTCTGGTTTCCTCCTCTCCAGGAGCATGTATTTGTTCTGCAAGTCATAGATTGCATCCTCTGCAGCTCTCCTCTTCTGAGACATGTTACGCACCTCTTGACGGAGGCGATCGGCTTCCTTTTCCAAGAGTGGATCGTTCTCATATCGGATGACTTCCTTGTTGACCAGCTTGGTTTCCACCTTGGATCTCTCCCTCCTCCATTCATCCCTTTCACCCTGCAGCCTAATGAGCTGCTCTTGGGTCCTGCCATTGGTGTTCACCAGCTCATTGAGCTGCTCTTTCAGCCTGTCAATCTCTCTAAGAATCTCTGGACTCTTTTCATGTTTCACCACCTCCTCTATGACCTCCTTAAACTCCACCACTGGTTTCTGTGACCTGAGGACATTG